ATAATTAGTCTGAAGTTCGAAAACTGCTCCACCTAAATTGCATACCAATACTAAAATTGAATTTTAGATATTGGTCTAAATACTGCCACTCTTCAGATAAAAAAGAAATAGGAGGAGAAGAAAAAGAAGGACCTGTTATGAAATACTTGATTATGGTGGATGTCCATAACTCCTAAAGGAGTAACACCCACTACTCTTCTCAATTAACCTCCCACTATTTCTTACCATTATGGATGTAACTCCCACACCTCCATGATCTTTCCCATATTCTCAATAGTTAATACCATGTTCATGGCATCCCTTTGTATTACCTATATCATCCTATAAATAAAGGGTTTGGGCATCACATTGTAAAAACTGGGAAAACACTTGAAGAAATAACAATCTCTCCTCTCTTTCTCTCTACATTCTTGTCTATTTGCTTGCTTCATATTATTACTCTGAGCTAAGTTTCTCAACACGTTATCAGCACGAGTCTCTAACCAACCAAGGCTTGAGTTTGATTCTTCTTCGGCCCATGTTCTGATTAATCTCATTACGAGAACTAAAAAAAAGAATGACAAATGCAACCAATAAGTATAAAATCACAGTGTTCGAATCCCAAACCATTTCAGCATACTACTATTGCTTTGAAATGTCAGCAACAATATTTAGGTATGGTTTCAAAATTGATTGGTCATAATTGGGAGAGCCATCACTAATGTTGAGGTATGATTTATTATATCGATTGGTTTTAAGGTAAAGCTTGGATTTCATAATTTCTATATTTTTTTTATCATTTTTTCTTTGTTCTTTTTGTTGAAAGCATGTTGCCTATTTTTGATAATATATTATTAGCTTTCATATTCAAACATGAGACGATGACCATTTGATTGAAAGATTTTTAAGAACTAGAAAAGATTTAAAAAAAAATTATAATATTTATGCAATGCCATAAGATTTTGAACCAACTACTAGCCACCGATTTTAAGCACTGTTACTAAGTTATATACATTACAATTGATGAGGGATTTAAGAATTAGAAAGGGAAAACAGAAAAATCAAAAATCAATTTTGATTGGTTATATTGTAGATGAATTTTGTCTAATTTTATACATCTTTTCCAACAACAAATAATTAGATGCTTTTGCTCTTCTTTATTCCTCACTATCTCTACATCATTGGATTCGTCATTCATTATAATTTTTTTTGGTTGCTAACAATACTCTCTTTGTGGTGGTTTTAAGCAGTTGGTTTCTCATAGAAGAACTTCAGAGGATCTAAATCCTTAGTGATTAAAGATCCAATTGAACTCTAAGTTCGCACGATAAATTTGACAGATTTTGAAAATAAACAATTCGAAGTGATAATATTTAAAAGGCTCAAGGGTGAGTCTCAGTTGCACTTTGGCCGATTATACTATTGGTTGAGGGTAAGACGGTGGGTTCAAGTCCCATCGCACCTTAAGGGTAAGACATCAGGTTTAAGTCCTAGTGCACCATGATAATAAGATGTTGGGTTCGATTCTCAACGCATTATAGTCTTACATGCCTACATATGGGTAAGACATTGGGTTTGAGTCCAAATGCACCATATTGATGTTAAAATTGATGACTAAGGAAAAATAATATATTTTTCATGAAAAAGCATGAAGCTTGTCCCACTTGATTTGCAACATTCTTGAAGTGAATGTGGTAGCAGTGCATAACAAGTCTAATGAAGATAAGTGGTTGACCATGAATCTGGGCGTGCATTGATAAAATAATAATAGTCATTATTTTGGTAATTGTAAACATGAGAACAATAAGGGTTCTCAAAATAATCCTTCAAAGGTGAAGGAATTGTGTATCAATATGCTCTGTAAATATGAGGCACGCTCAGATGATTATAGTCCATTTTTTTGAAAGAATGCGACTTGTGATAAGCATTGTAAATGCAGACTCATTCTTGAAGTGAGTGTGAAAATATATATGTGATACAAATTATGCATAAGAATGTATTTATGCATGGTTGAATAAATACTACAGTTCACCTCTACGGGAGGTTGGAGAGAAAGAAAGATCATGAACATTACTATGTGGTTACACGAATATGTCATTGGTCGTGTACATATGGTACGCCGAAAATATTTTGCCATGCCTTATAAAAAGTTATTAAAGGCAAAATTAAAGCAAGAAAAGATTTTGCTTCTGATGATTTTGACCATGACAATTATTATGATAAGATAATTTTCTCCGTGGAGAAAAAATTCACCACTTGGATGGTGTTATAAAAGATCTTGTAGTGCAAAATTATTGAGAGCTCCAGAAGAGCGAATTTGTTACTACGCGAATAAATAAAATTATTCATGGCATTGGTGGTAGTAAGTCTCAAAAGAAACTTTTTGAGTTTCAAATGTATTAGCCAAAGTGGTTGGCATATTGAGACTATAAATGAAAGGAAGATCGATTATCTTCATATTACTATAACATACCGGGTAAATATGAAGGTTACCCGATTTTTCTTCTATTTGTACTACACAATATAAGCATGATGATGGAATCACATGCCATAGTAAATTAGATGTTTACTGAAATAAATATCAGTTGGCATGACCAGTTGGCCATCCCGGTTTATTGATGCGAAAAATTAATTGAGATTCACATTGACATATATTGAAGAAATAGAAGATTCTTCAAGAATTCTCTTGTGCTGTTTTTTCTCATGATATACCGGTTAAGATTGGATTGAATCCCTTGATATCTGGAACGAATAAAAGGTGATATATATGTATGGGCCCAGTCACCTGCCATGTGGACCGTTTACTATTATGTGGTTTTAATTGATGCATCTATTGTACGGTCACATGTGCGTTTGTTATCAACTTGCAGTTTGAATTTTGCATGGTTGCTTGCTCAAATTATTAGAGCATGGTTCCAGAATGTAAATTATGATGATTTATCTTGATAATATTGGTTTAAATCCAACTTGGTTTAGCAGAAATTGTATGCCTCCAATTATAGCTAAACCATTGGTTATGAGATGTATTATTTAATATACAACAACACTTGTACGCATCTAGCCAAGTTATGATAAACTCTACCTATCACAATCTGTTCAGGGTCAGGAACCTAACAAATCCATCTAGAAATATGGATGTGATAAATGATTTAATTGCTCCACCACAATGCACAAAGATGGGTCCCTAAAGAAAGTTGGGGATATATCTTGGTGATCCCAGCATTAGGGGGAGAAAATGGGTAGCTGAAAAAGTGATACGTGGAATGAATTATCATGAATAAATCTAGATCCTCGTACAAGAAATGTGAACTTGAGGTTCAAGTGATAATTCATTTGCAAAATATTGTCAGACGCATTTACTGACCCAAACTAAATGTCATATTTCAGCTACTAATGCTCCAAATAGAATAAAGTCCATGATGGACATAGTCTATGGAACGCATGAAGCGTAATAGACTAATCGGTTTCAAAGATAAAACTCCTTGAAGAAGGAGGGAGCAAATGTTCAAGATGGTCATAATAAGGAGGCAAGTGCTTTATAAGAGCACCATGACATAACATTTTATAAGACCTCATGGGAGAGGCTCATATACCTGAAAATAATGAGATCTCGATAAGTTATGTCTTTACTGTGCGATGATGGAATCGATGTAAAATGATCGTCGACGATGTTGTTAATATAATATAGCGCTCAATATTATTAATATTGACGAGGATCTTGAGCTCAAATCTGTCATGGAATTTGGTCAGATAAATGATTGGCCTAATGAAAAATATGCAATGAAAATTGACTTCATTTGAAAAATATGAAGTTGGACGAATAGTCCCAACAGCTGAAAGTATAAAGGCTATATCGAGATATTGAAATATGATTATATTATATTGCAAAAAGGAATCCTTGATATATATTTATTTATTCTAACAAATATTGTCAAGGTTTTGTTGGTTATACAAATGCAAGGCATAGTTCGTTGTTCAAACAATCTATTTCCATGTGAGGACGTGTGACTTTTCTTTGAAGAGACGATTCCAATAATATTGAAGATGATGCTGCTTGCATAGCTCAATTGAAAGAGCGATATATTGAAGAAGACAAAGTAAAGCACAATTAGCCAAAGTTTCTTTGCAAAGACGATCTTCAACAGAATGAAGAAAAAGATGTTCAAGAAATTCGTTCAAGTGATAATTTGGCGGAATAATTCACCAAGACATTGCCGACCTCAATATTAAAGAAGTTGTTATACAAGCTTGGAATTCGTCGTCTCCGAGAAATAAAGTGATACTTTCATCAGGGGGAGGCAAATACGCGCTGGACTCTTTTTCCCTTAGTTAAGGTTTTATCCCACTGGGTTTTCCTGGCAAGGTTTTTAATGAGGCAGCAAGTAATGCGTATTACAAGATATGTGTACTCTTTTTCCTTCACTAGAATTTTTTCCCACATGGTTTTTTCCTAATAAGGTTTTAACGAGGCACATTATCTTTGGACATCTAAGGGGGAGTGTTATGAAATACTTGATTATGGCGGATGTCCATAACTCCTAAGGGAGTAACACCCACTACTCTTCTTAATTAATCTCCCACTACTTCTTACCATTATAGATGTAACTCCCACACCTCCATGATCTTCCCCATATTCTCAATAGTTAATACCATGTTCATGGCATCCCTTTGTATTACCTATATCATCCTATAAATAAAGGGTTTGGACATCACATTGTAAAAACTGGGAAAACACTTGAAGAAATAACAATCTCTCATCTCTTTCTCTCTACATTCTTGTCTATTTGGTTGCTTCATATTATTACTCTGAGCTAAGTTTCTCAACAGGACCATATTATTATTATCTATTAAAATAATCGGATTTGTTTTAAAGAAAAGACAATCGATTTGAAGACGCACAACTTAAGTAACGGCTTGCTCTTCCGCCACGTAAGGGTCCTTTCGCGCGCTCTTTGGGATAGTAGGACCCACCGACTCCATTCTCAACGGTAACCGAACTCCCAAAATTTTGGCCCACGAGCCCTCATTTTCACTTTCCTCTTCGCTGCTTCTCGAACTTTTAGCCCTTTCCACTTCTCTATCACTACTTCCACCTTCAACACCAAGCTCATCATCCCAAATTTTCCATCCAGAAGATCCAATTTTTTGTGTATATACTACGAGAATTCGATGAGCTTTTCCTGTAGTACCAGTTATTTTCACTTTCCTTCAACGTCTCAGAGAAATCTCAGTGTTCGCAGTAGAAGAACTCTTCATCGCCGATGGAAGCATCGGAAGTTGAAATGGAATCATCATCATTATAAAATTCTCGCAATTCAGAATTTAAATCCTATGCCATTAGAAAATCTATTTCAAAACATAGTTTCTCAATTTCCTTCTGTAAATTCACTCGATTTAATTGCTCCAGCCCTAGGTTTTATCTCTGGTTTTGCTCTTCACTTATCTCAATCGCGAAAGTCAGTAAAACTTCTAGAAACTTCTGTTTCGGACCTCGGAGAATGGATCTTATTCACTAGTCCGACGCCGTTTAATCGGTTTGTAGTACTACGTTGTCCGTCAATTTCGTTTCGGGATAGTGAACTTATGGAGGAGGTGAACGAGAGGCTTGTGAAGGAAGACAGACATTTTGTGAGGCTAAATAGTGGGAAGATTCAGGTGACAGATGATTATGAGAGTAGTTGTGATGATGAGAAGTTGGTGTATCAGAGAGTATGTTTGAGTACGGAGGATGGAGGAGTCGTGTCGCTTGATTGGCCAGCGAATTTGGATTTGGAAGAAGAATATGGATTGGATTCTACGATTGTGATTGTACCGGGGACAACTGAGGGAAGTATGGATAAGAATATTAGAGCATTCGTTGTTGAGAGTTTGAGGAGAGGATGTTTCCCTATTGTCATGAATCCTAGAGGTTGTGCTGGTTCGCCATTGACAACTGCGCGGTGAGAAATTGCAATCTCATTCAACTACTAGTAATCGTGTGTTGTACTTGTATTGTTCCGCGTGTTTTTTCTTTTAAGTGTAGCAGATTTTGCATTTCCATCCTGTTATGAACTGAATGCAGAACTATTTCCGTTTCACACATCCGAACTAACTAGGTGCTGTCACAGACAATTTATGTGTAACAATAGCTTGTTATCAAAATAAGAAAGTAGTATTGTAGGCTTTACTTTGCAGTCTTGATAGCCTTTTCCTACTTACTGTTATGTGCAAAACTTATTACTTTAGAACGGGGATGGATGTAGTGTACTCCCTCCATTTCAATTTGTTTGAACCTATTTGACTGGGCACAAAGTTTAAGAAAAAAGAGAAGGCTTTTGAAACTTGTGGTCTAAAACAATACATTGATATTTGTGTGGCTATAAATCGTCTCATTAAGGGTAAAATGTGAAGTTTAAGGTTACATTCTTTCCAAATTTACAAAGGGGTCATTCTTTTTTAAAGTGATGAAAAAAGAAATAGTTTCATTCTTTTATAAACGTAGGGAGTAGATGCTATGGGTTCATCAGAATAGCTTTGGCTCCGCCCCTGTATATCTGATTAAAAAGTAAACTAGATAAGTACAAATAATACTTTTCGAACCCACCAAAAGACTATGGTTGAATCCCGAACTCAAACCCATAAAGCCCAAATCTTGTATCCATATCTAGTTTAGAAAGGAGATAAGTCCTTTTCTCTTTTAAATTGATTGAACAAATTACTGTTTTAAATGCCAATCATGTGGTTTAGCTTCGGGATAGTTAAAAATTGTTGCTTCTAGTTTTGTCCATTCAGCATCTCTCTTGTAATAAGCTAATGGAAGAACAAATGACTACTTTATTTATGTAGGTTATTTACAGCTGCTGATAGCGATGATATCTCCACAGCCGTCCAATTTATCAACAAGAAAAGGCCGTGGTCAACAATAATGAGTGTGGGCTGGGGTTATGGAGCCAATATGTTGACAAAGTATCTGGCTGAAGTTGGAGAAAAAACACCTCTTACAGCTGCTACTTGCATAAACAATCCTTTTGACCTAGAGGAGGCAACAAGAACGACGCCTTGTCACATTGCTGTGGACCAAAAGCTCACACGTGGCTTAGTAGATATATTGCAATCGAGCAAGGTAGAGACTCTGCCTTTACATAAAGCTGTCACTGTAGGATTAACATCTGGAGTTTTCATTTGATGCATGCTTCATGGCCTTTCGATCGTGTTCAGCTTGTTGTATGAGGCAGTGCTCTGGTGCGCTGAACGTTGTTGCCCTAGGTTTAAGAGTTCCATAGAAGCTTGAAAACTCTTTAACATTTATAAGATGCATGCAGGAACTCTTTCAAGGTCATGGAAAAGGCTTTGATGTTGAAAATGCTCTTTTCGCTACTTCTGTTCGGGACTTTGAGAAAGCAATATCAATGGTATCTTATGGATTTAACTCCATCGAAGATTTCTATGCACAATCCAGTACAAGGGATGTGGTTGGCAAAGTAAAGATTCCTCTTCTTTTTATACAGGTAATGTTTTGAAAGGCCATTTCACTTTTTAGAGGAATTGACCCAAAACCTATATTACCGCAGATTCTCCAAAATACGGCGGCACCCGTGTCGATCCTCCAAAAATACACTACTTTTGGAGGATCCGACATGCACCCGGAAACATTTTCGGAGGGTCCGAGCAACATAGCCTAAAACTGTCCCTTCAGTATGTGGTTGAGTTTAAATTTGTCCCTCTAATATATACTCATCATAAAAAGTTCTCTAACTTTGCAAAATAGGGACACTTCTGTCCATCCAATCTGATTTCGTTATGTTTTATTTGAATACCCCTCCCCTTCCATAGCTACGTCCTTTTACTTCTTAGTTGTTATCAAAGACCACCATGATGTTTGTTCTTACCAAGACCTGCTCCCTGCAGCACTGTCAACATTTTTGTCAACACACTTCGAATAGATTCAGTGAACAGCTTGAATAATAATGAGCAGGAAATAGTTCCAAATTCTGCTATGCTTAGTTATTCATCCCAACCCAATTTCTAGTCTTGAGCCTGTAATTTAAAGGGATTCTGAGAAAACGAATCGCTTTACTTTGGGGAGAAATAGAAGGAGAGGAGCTACAGAATCTTCATCCCAAGTTTCAGCTCAATTAGTAGATGATATACCTGGATGACATTGAGGAGTTTGAGTTTCCTGTGAGCAAACATTTGAACTTCCAAGATCAGAAGCTATTGATGTTCGAAGCACCTCTTTTTTTGGGAAAATGTTCAAAGCACCTCTTGTTCCCTTGATATTACAGATAAACGCTGGTTGAAACGTTGAAGGCCACAAGGAATAGTGTGAGTTGCAGAATGTGAAAGAACAATCAAGGTGTTTAAGGAAGAGTAGCAAGGGAAAAAATATTCTATGGGAAACAGGGTGACAGACATATAATAGTAAGATGAAGAGAAGTTTATTGGAAAAAAAGGAGAAAATGGACGATGCTTAAATAAGGCTGTGAAGCATGCATGCATGTTTTGCCCCCCTGTATATGAAGGTAAAGGGAAGAATATAATGGGAAATGGACAATGCTCTGAAAAGTTAAATTTTCTTGGAGGCTACAATCTTTTGTGGTCCTTCCATGATAATTTTAAACCGTCATGGTCTGGTGTCAATAAAAAGAAAAAGACGGTGTTGCTTCACTTTTTCAAGAGAGCACCTGCAGGCTTGAAATTGGTTAACAGCTGCAAGCAGAAATAGTATAGTTAAATATCTGTGTCCAGAACTAATATTCAAGTTTCAACATGGTTTATTCTGTGTGCATTGTCCTGAAAATTGATTATAAATTGGGACAAATCGTGTGAACTTCTTGGTTTCATTGATTTTTCAGAGCGAGGAAGGGTCAGTTCCCTTGTTCTCTGTTCCACGCAGTTCGATAGCAGGAAACCCATATACAAGCCTACTCTTGTGCTCTTATTTTCCACATGATGAAACGACAAATGGCAGATCAACGCTAACTTGGTGCCAGCATCTTACAATTGAGGTGAGGATCGTGACTGTTATCTGTCATGGTTTCATTTTTTTCTCCTCCATACTCCCTATTTATTTTCATTCCCAAAATTCGTCTGCAGTGGCTCACAGCTGCGGAGCTCGGACTTTTGAAGGGTCGTCATCCTCTTCTGAATGTTGATGTCACCATTAATCCATCCAAGGATCTTACTCTTGTGCGTGAACCATCTGATAGAAGTTTTAGATCAAACAAGCTCTTGGATCTTCCTAACTCAGATGCTTTAGATGGTTGCTCCCTAGATCCTTCAGTGCAAATATTTGAAGGAGGAGATACCGCTGCGAGATTTGGAAGAGATTCAGGAAAAGATCTTCGGAGCACAGAGAAGCTACAAGAGACCTTTAGCACCTTACAAAATGGTAGTGCTGCTGATGCAGAATCAGGAGGAGAGGAGGCTGGAAGTCCTGTTGATGGTGAAAGAGGCGTGCTACAGGCTGCAGAACTAGTTATGAAAATGCTTGATGTGACAATGCCTGATACACTAACAGAAGAACAGAAGAAGAAGGTACTTAATATCTGTTACCCTATGACTTGTGGTAATTTGTTGAAAACAATTTCTTTTGGAGGTAAACTGAGCCAAATTTACTCATTGGATAGGTTATATAACTGTTATATGTTCTAGACTTTACCTGTTTAAACTGTGGCAGGTCCTGACGGCTGTTGGTCAAGGGGAGACAATAATGAAAGCTTTGCAAGATGCTGTACCTGATGATGTTCGTGGAAAGCTCACAACTGCTGTCTCTGGAATTTTGCACAATCACAGTTCAAATCTCAAAATTGACGGGCTACTAAGTCTTGGACATATTCCAAACTTGACATCTAGAATAAAGTCAAAGATAGAAAAGGATGGAGGATTTTCAGGTATAGAAGGTGGAAGTGAAACTCCTCACTTATCAGATGGGAAGAAGAGGGCTGGTGATTTTTCAGATGAATTTAATAATGACGGCTCTAGCACAGAAAAGCATTCTCAAGACCTAGTTTCAGAACCTGAGTTATTGGAGGACGCGCAACAATCTGTTGATACAAGTCAGTCTCAAGAAATGAGTAGCCATGGTAGTGAAGTTCCTGCTTTAGATACGAAGGATAGAAACGATGTGGAGAGTAATCAAAGTGCAAATCTTTCTGAAGAAAACACTGCCCTAACTTCTGATTACAGGGATACTGAGTCTAAAGCTGGAGCTAAACTTGAGAGTTCAAGTGTGCCTGAAGTGGATGGTGGCACTGAGAAAGTGATTGCTGAGCAATCCAAAGTACAACATGATGGTGGGAAACATCAGGGGGACTTGAAAGAAGAGATCTCTACCCAACAAAACGAAGAAAAAAATTCTGATATTTCTAGCGATCGGAATAAGGAAATATCTTCCACCCAGACAGAGGATAACATATCACTTGCGGCATCCCCTTCAGAGACCAACGTGCTGGAAAACGAAGTTTCTGATACTGTCAAAAGAGAAGAAAGAAGTATGCAGACTGAGTCAAATCAAATTATTCCTAATGCACCAAGTGTTGATGTTTCTCAAGCATTGGATGCCCTGACTGGAATTGATGATTCAACTCAGGTGGCAATGAATAGTGTATTTCATGTACTTGAAGATATGATTACTCAGTTGGAAGGGGAAAGAAACACGGAAAGTGAAATCAAGAATGAAGACGATAAAGGTGGACTTGAGAAAAGTGAAATCAAGAATGGGGACGACGAAAATGGACGTAAGGACAGAGACAAGGTTCTTGATCAAAATACTAGCTCCATCTCAAACAATCACCCTACAGTTGATAACCAAGAATTAGATGATGTTGAGAAGAGCAAAGTATGCTTACCTTCCCAAGAAAAATACAGAACAGATGCCATTGTATTTGGTGAAGTTGAAAGTGGTACCGTCAATTTTCAGGAAAGTCGTGGAGAAAGCCACGGAGAAAGTGATCAGAGGAGAATTTTTTTTGTTAATGGAGAGCTTCCTGCAGGGGATTCACTTAGGTCTTTGGATTACATTCAAAAAACTGTTCCTGTCTACATGTCTACCAATTCCTATGGAGACCCACTTTACAAAGAATATCTTCGAAACTATTTAAGTTCAAAGGCTGTGATAACCAAACCACTAGATTTAGACACCACAACAGCTTTGTTTCTCGACTACTTCCCAGAAGAAGGACAATGGAAACTTTTGGAGCAGATTGGAAGTAACAGTGATTTAGCTGATGAAGTTGCAGGAGATGACAGAAGTTATGTGGAGATGCAGCATGATTCGCTTCGGGAAACAAATAATATGGATAATGTTATTGAGCCATCTTATGTAATAGTTGACGATGAAATCCAGGATCCTGATGAAGAATGTTTGACTTCAAACAACTCTAGTGAGAATGTTGAAGTTGATAATGACAGTGCAAATGGATCTGCTTTATTTTTCAGAAATATTATAGTGGACGCTATGAAGGTCGAAGTTGGAAGAAAATTAAGTGCTGCAGACATGAAGGAAATGCAGCCCAAACTCTTCAGTGAACTGGAACATGTTGCAAATGCTATCTCCCACGCTGTAGGGCATGGAGAGGAGCTTGTTTCATTTATCAAGATGAAGGACCGTACTTCAGAGAAAGTGGGTACGCTTCAGGCAGAGCATATTGTGCATGCTATTTCATCAGCAGTTCAGGGAACTAGTTACTTGAGAAGGGTATTGCCTGTTGGAGTTATTGTAGGCTGCAGCCTGGCTGCTTTGAGAAAGTTTTTTTATGTAGATGCAGTAGACAGTAGCGGCGAAAGCAAAGAGTTGGTCCTTGATGAAATAAGTGAACCAGGGAAAGTAAACTCTATTCAAACAGCCAACAAGCTGATTGATGAAAAGCATCCTGATAAACAAGTCTATGGATTGCAAAGTCCACTTTGCCAAGTTGAGGGACCAGCTGATTCAGAAAATTCAGACAGAAAATATATTATGGTTGGAGCTGTTACGGCAGCCCTCGGAGCATCGGCATTGCTTGTCCATCAACAGGTAAAAGTGAAAAGGTTGGCTGATAGTTGTACTTAGAGCGGGTAGCAACAACTGGACAACTTTGCTTATTATTCAATATCATAAGTTATCACCTTCTTTGCATTATCCATCTAGGCTAGTTCTTGGCATGTATGAATCTCATGCATTTTGGGAAATCTAAAAACTACTTTTCCACCATTTTGATGTAGAGATTGACCAGAACCAGCAATTGAATATCTTGCTTTGCCAAGGAAGACAATGCATTTCTTCACGTTTCACCTTATTTACCCCGGAAAAGGATTGGGAGGGCATTAACCATAGCGTCTATATGTTGGAGTGTGAACTTGGGACATATCCATCTTATTTTTCTCCTTTAAGAACTTCTTCATCGTTGTTAATGACCTAAAGAGACCACAATTTACCTTCTTCTTGAGCAGAATGCAATGGATATTTTGGGCAAGAATTCAGTGGAATCCTAAATTGAACTGGCTTGTTTCTTGTGCATACACTTAATTTTTCTTGGGGGGGTTGGGAGGGGTTGGGAGGGTTTGGGGGATTATTAGTTCACACTTTACAGATAAAGAAAAGAGATGAATTTTTACTGCCCATCTCTTAATTTGTCTGTGCCAATTTTTTCTGTACGAACTCTTCTAATATTTCACATGCATGCGCTTAAAGGATGCTGAAACTAATGCGAATTCTTCCAAGCCTTTCGAGGATGAGAAAAATCAAAGCAAGGAAGTGGGCAAGCTTGATGAGGAAACAAAGGATAAAACTCACAATAACATAGTCACAAGCCTTGCTGAGAAAGCCATGTCTGTAGCTGGTCCTGTGGTGCCTATGAAAGAAGATGGTGCAGTGGATCAAGATAGGTCTTATAATCTTCACAGCATGCTTTTTTTTTTTTTTTTTTACTTCAAATTATTATTGAAACCAGTTTAAATTATCTTTTTATTTTAATAGGCTGGTGGCAATGTTGGCGGAATTGGGACAGAAGGGTGGTATTCTGAAATTGGTCGGAAAAGTTGCGTTGCTTTGGGGTGGTGTACGAGGTGCTATTAGTCTAACTAAAAAGCTCATCTCGTTTCTGCGCATTGCTGAACGTCCTTTGTACCAGAGGTAAGGTATTGCGTCATTTTACTATGATATGAAGTATTGCGTCATTTATCTATGTTCTAGGTGCTGGATGAAAGAATTAACTATAAATGTTGACAAAGTCTTTGTTTTTAAGCCAAAGTCATCTCTCAATGCTCGATTTGCTCTGTAGTATGTGTTTGTTTTGTGATTAAAGGAAACAATTTTAATCTTACTGTGTAAAAGGAAAGAATTTGAATCTTTTACTGCAAACTAGCCAAATGAAAATTTCAGGATAAGGTGACATCTTTTCCAAGAAATGCAAGACATCATCATACATCCGCTGTTTATTTCTTCTTTTTACTCTTCTACATGATTAGATACTGAGACTGCTGTGTTAAACTGATAATAGGCCAAGTTTTGACCATTTCCAGTAGTTTTTGGCATTGGTGGGTGAATTTAACCCGCATGGAATAGATACCTCCATTTTGCATTAGTGAAAGGATTGCTTTAGTGATCACCCTTTCATGGCTTCTTCCATACTTTTACCTCTTTCTTTAGTCTGGATGGAACATGAATGAAGAAACTTCTTGTCACGACCCATTTTCTGAATAAGCCGGGACCGGCACCAGATCACTAAACATGACCGAGCGAACCATCTGCGCTTATCAGATCTATTATAACTTCAAACTTTATAAGCCAGAAGGCAATACTGTAACCGAATACTTTTAATTAATTTAAATATCTAAAATAAACCAACTCCAAAACTTTATTTGTAGTAACCAATGAAATACTGCTAAGTTAATATCAAAAACATCTTAATCTTAACCCACTGACTGTGTCTATGAAGCCTCTACTGATAAACTGACCCACTGCTCAGGACATGAGATTTCCTGGCTAGTTCTCTAAGTAAACAAAGAAATAGCTAAGTAAAGATGACTCTAAAGAATACTCCACGAACAAAAGCGGAGCTCACCAATAGCACTGGAAGAGATGGAAGTCCTAACCTGTAGCCTGCTCACTTGCAAAACCGGTTCCTACGTTGTACCACAGAATCATTTGGAAATTGGAACCTGACTATCTTGGCACGACAATCTAACATTGCATAGCAGGAAGACAACCAATTCATACCCATGATCACATCGAAATCCACCATTTCTAACTCTATGAGATTGGCCTCGGTGCTGTGACCTTGGATTGAAACTATACAACCTCTATAGACTCTTGTGACTCTCACTGACTCGCCAACTAGAGTAGATACTAGGAATGTCTCACTAAGTTGTTTCGGTTCTAGCCCGAAGTTGATTGCAAAGTATGGAGTCACATATGAAAACGTTGAACCTGGATCCATTATGGCATAAGCATTATGTGAGCACACTAGAAGTATACCTGTAATAACTTCTGCAGATGCCTCTGCACTCTGACGATCAAGTGCAGCAAACAAACGGGGTTGTCCCCCTCCTTGAGTAACTCGATCTGCACCTCTGTCTGCCCCATGCCCGGTCTGATTATGAGAACCACGAGCCTGAGGTGGTGCAATTGCAGTAGCTGAGGAACTAGAAGGATGAGTTGATCCACCACTGAAATTACGTTGCAATCTTGGCAAGTTGGCCTTTATATGACCAATGTCTCCACAATGATAGCAACCATGAAAAGCGAGCTTGCACTGACCTGAATGTTGCCGCTTACATGTTTCACAAAGACCTTGTTGGTGTGAATGTTGCTCAGTATGACTTTGGCTATATGAGGATGATGTCTTAAAATTCTGATTCTGGCGAGACTGGTTTCCATAACTCTGAGTACGTCTGAAGGAAGACCACCACCCGACTGATGACTGGACTGAGCTGGTGCTAATGACTCCTTATTAGAGGAATCCCTTCCACCTCCGCTGGATGTACCATTAAATTTGCTCGCTGTCCGGACTTTTTTGTTATGCTCTTTTTCTTCTCTCCTTTGTTGTCTGTCTTTTTCTAAGTGCTTGACGAATCCTACAACAGAGGAGAAGGCTGACATCCCTACCGCTGCAGCTGATGTCGTATCCTTAATGTGGTAAGCCAAACCGCCAACAAACCTGTGAATCTTTGCTTTTCTGTCTTAACCATGTGAGGAGCATGCTTAGCTAACCTTATGAATTCCATGTAGTACTCTTGCACACTTTTATTCCCTTGCTTGAGCTGTTCGAACTCTGTAGCCTTAGCTTCCCTATCCTCTTCCAGGATAAAGTTAGCCATAAAGGCCTCTTCAAATTCTTCCCAAGTAGGCGGACCATCATCTTCATCTCTTTCCTTTTCCCACATCTCAAACCAAGCGCCAGCCACATCTCTAAGCTGGTAAGCAGCCAGCTCCACAACTTCATCATCAAATGCCTTCATTGCTCGGAGAGCTTTCTTGACACCCTCCAGCCACAACATTGGATCTTCATCAACTATAGAACCATGGAATACTGGAGGACTCAACTTCAAAAATTCATTCACTCTTGAGGACTCAGAATTGTTCTGTCTATTTAATTGAGGTGGAATCTCATCTCTTCTCTCGTTCTGGTTGCTATGAAGGATTTAAACATCTCCATGGTACTGTTGACTGCATTAAACATCTAACTCACCTCTGGAGATATAGTTGTCTGAGGTGGAGCTGCTGTTGGGGGCGGCATTGGATCCTGAGGTACTGGATCATCATGCTCCACCCCTTCTTCATGTTGAACCCGGGGTACTTGGACCCCGTTTGTGGATTTACCCCTCCTTTTCTGAGTTGAAGCCTTCTTAGTTCTACCTTGAGCCACAATGATAGAATAGTTTCTTGAGCAGCATCCTCAGTGTCGGTGTCAGAGTTGCGAGTACGAGCCATTTCTGCGTGTTTTGGAGAAAAGAATACATTAGATAATTTCTTAGAGGTAGGCTCTACTGCACGATCTAAAGTATGAAAAAAATGAGACTTTTCCTAAATGCTTGTAGCCTCCTGTTTATAAGTATGGCGCGCCTCATACCCATAAACAAGACTCTACTAACACGGCTTCATAGACCCCTAGGACTCCATAAACCTGAGGCTCTGATACCAAGTTTGTCACAACCCATTTTCTGAATAAGCCGGGACCGGCACCCGATCACTAAACATGACCGAGCGAACCATCTGCGCTTATCAGATCTATTATAACTTCAAACTTTATATGCAGAAGGCAATACTGTAACCAAATACTTTTAATTAATTTAAATCTAAAATAAACCAATTCCAAAACTTTATTTGTAGTAACCAATGAAATACTGCTAAGTTAATATAAAAAACATCTCAATCTTAACCCATCGATTGTGTCTATGAAGCCTCTACTGATAAATTGACGCACTGCTCAGGACATGAGATTTCCTGGCCAGTTCTCTAAGTAAACAAAGAAATAGCTAAGTAAAGATGACTCTAAGGAATACTCCACTAACAAAAGCGGAGCTCACCAATAGCACCGGAAGAGAAGGAAGTCCTAACCCGTAGCATGCTCACCTGCAAAACCGGTTCCTACGTTGTACCGCCGACCAACGTAGGTTCCCAGAAGAGAATGTCAGTACCATCCATTGTACTCAGTGGGTCTCAACGACAGGAGAAGAAACTTTAATAACATATACATTACGAGTAAAGATTCTCAATGCATGTAAAACATAAAGCTTATAAGAACAATTCTAAAATAATTGCATGATAGCAGTTTATGAATATACTAAAAGAAATTCTTTTCTTTTTCTTTCTTATAAAAAAAATACTTCACTTTATACTTTGGGAGTTCCAACTATCCTGACCTATTTCTGTCTTAGTCACCATGTGATCGGCATGGGTTCGATCCCTACCTGATCGAATCAGCCCAATCCACGAGGTGCCACTCGTTTCATGGTTCTCAGCGCTCATGTATCGTACCTTAGCCTGGCTAAATAAATTCTTAGCAACGAGACCCTCAGCTCGTGTGCTCCCTACTTTGGCACAAGTAGTTTCAGGAAGTCAACGCATTGGTTAGGACCCTAGGCCTGGACGATGACCCCTTCTCAGAATAAAGGATACTCCCAAAAATCTTTTCTTTCTAAAACTTCTTCTTGTGACTTTTCAAGTCTAAATCTTTTATACATACTCATACTGGTATCCTTAAATGTAAGGCATGACATAAGAATGAAATAAACATTCAAAATTATTTATAAAGATTCTTGCTCCTTCATGAATTTTCAACATGAAAATACCATATAAGAATAACACAAAAATCTGAAAATTTATGCACATATATCAAAATAATCATCTAAACTAGTTCTAAGCTAATAGGTTCTTACTCACTCCAATTAAGTATATATTAACTCTTTTATGCAATTCATCAAACACCTTGTATGCATGCTTTTGTGAGTTAAACTACTTTAGTAAAGGGTTATATCAACTCACCTCAAAACTTCTCGAGCCAATACGTAGGCCCTGGTCCAATTGACACCAGTCAAACAATTGACTCTACAACAACCAGTGCATTTTGATCAATTATAAAGTTTCTCACCTAAACATGAAATTTACTGTTGATACAGAGAAAGAAGGGAACTAACTATTCAATTCTTACCTATTACCACTGTAGGATAATTAACAATAGGGAATTTTATATACCTGAGTTCAAGAATTAATGGTTTGTAAAGAACCCTACGATTTTCTTTTCGTTGCCTGCGTTTGCTGGGTAAACAGAACAGCGTTCTGTTTTGTGCATATAACTCTGTCGCCTTCTTTCTTTGGACCTTTTTACGTCCAGCTAGCCGTTAAGGCCTTAAGCCTTCCTTTTTTTTTTTCAACAGCCCTTTATGGGCTTTAGTCCCTTTTTCTTATTTTTTCTTTTTTTTTAAAACTTAACTAATAATTAATGATACCCACCTTTAATAATTAAAAATATTAAAATTATTAATATTCCCCTAATTGTATATCCAAATATTTATAAATAGAAAAGTAATTCAAAAATCAATCACAGGGGTTAAAATCCGTAATAGAAGTATAATTTAAGATTAAAAAAAAATTTAAATTCTATATTTAGCGTATCTTGAAACTTTTATAAATTTGAGGAGTGTTACACTTCTAGTCAACAGCATTCACCTTCAGATTTGATTTTAAATTTATCAAACGGCCTTCTTCATCAATTTAGTTCTTGTTCTTCATAGTTGCTCTTTTTGTCTTAGGAATCCGGGGATGTTGGGACAGGTAGTTAAGTAGTTTACCTTCTGGGCTTCCGGTTGTTAACCATATATGTTCATTTGGCATCCCCAGTGAGCAGCAGCTCTTTGACAATCTTTTTCATTCTTTTTGGTGGGTTTTTTTTTTTTTTTTTTTTTTT